TCTGTCTTCACATCGGCTAGTCTTCGATTTTGCCAATGGCTTTAACTATGTACCAAGACACCAACTCACAAAGAACCAATAACTACTAAGTGTTGCTAAGGTAGAGGGACAGATCAGTGGGTCATCACCAAATCAATAGGTGACCCAACAGTATCATATCTTGTTAAATCTTGCACGAGTGAGAGGTTACAAAAAGTACACTTCTTCATGACACATGCCTACAGAATTGCATAATATGACAAAACACGGTATTCGTCTGAATTAACAAAAGTTCAGTTTTTCATATTTATACTTAATTTGACCTGTAACTGTTGATTTTGTAGCTTTATACTGACATGGGTGTCGCGTTATCAAGTTATAATATATTTTTTTTTTGAATAAATTTTACTTTTGGTCTCTAATGTCAGGGGTCCTGATTGGTTTGAGCTTGACTCCAAAGGTCAAAAGTAGCAGGAGGTCTCATGTTCAAATCCAAGGAGGAATAAAAATACCCTTGTGGCCACGGAGGTTCAAATGCGGTGACTCCGAGCTATCTACAAAGCAGGTAGTCGCATTGGGATTAGTCGGCTCGCATAGCGGGTTGAATATCCAGGTTAAACCGAAAAAAAAATGTCAGAGGTCTTGTGCACCTGCTCAATTGATTTTTACAAGTGCATTATTTTTGGGTTTGAAAAGTGCACACAGTAAAATTTGACGGGTGCTCAGGGATATGAGAAAATTCAAGAATCATCAACCACAAAAACGTCAAAACCTAAAAAGTCCTTTGAAATCAACCGAAAAAAAAAACAGAAAAAGTTTTTGGAAATCAACCACGAAAAATCCTTAGAAATCAACTAAAAATTATATTAAAAAAAAATCCATTGAAATCAACCAAAAAACTTGAAAAATCCTTAAAATGGTGAAATTCAGCTAAAAACACATCGGACGACTTTGCGAACCTTGATCCATTTTAACAATGCACCCATTGACAAAAATCTTAGGTTCTTCGCTGTCTGTGGTTTGTTGAATGTTTGGATTAAGTCCCTACAACAAGCTGAGTTTGTTGTTAAGACTCATAAACAACATCAAGATGTAGCGACTCGTTTTGGTAAAATTAGAAACAGCCACTCTACTCGGTTTCTTATGGATTCTTGAAGGAATACATTATTATCTGTTCAGTGTATGATTCGTGTATTCCGATAGTTTAGCAGGAGAGGATCACTTCAACGTCACCGATCACCATGAAAGACCAGAAGTGGGAGAGGGAACATGGAAGATGACAGTAGAAGTTACGACGAAGATGAGAGCTCTAGAAAGTTTTATTTGTCGGTCTTGAGTCTGTCGGGGGGGTACATGATGACTGATTTGCATATGTATATTATATTTATTTATTTTAAATAAAAATGGCCATAATACAGTTGACTTAACTGGATTTTTTTAATGATGGTAGTAGGAAAGAGAAGACCAACATTTTTGCATACCATAAAAGTTTATCTGTAATAATGTTTTTGTAAATATCTAATCCAAGAAAAACCACAAATCAGATATAATAAATGCAAAAATATCATACGTAGATGGGAATTCAATATATCTTAATATGCAAATTGTATGAAAAAAGAACGTACTTCAACGTGATTCATATTTTTGGTAACGTATTTTCAAAACTTTCATTTTGATATAAACTTTCATTTTGATATATACGATGTAAAGTTTTAAACATTCAAGTACCCGAGTAATTGGTTGAAGCATTAATCGGTTATCATGTAGATGTAGTGAGTGATGTGATATCCAACTCAGTATTATTTGCTGACATGGTTAATGACATGAATTTTTTTAATCTAAAATTAATCTTCAACCGGTTACCCGGGTACTTAAATGTTCAAATTTTTACATCTTAGGTACCAAAATGAAAGTTTTGAAAGTGTGTAACCTGAGATGAAACTTCCATTTTGGTACTTTAATTTTCAATATATCTTAATGTGCAAATTGCATGAAAAAGTAACGTACTTTAATTTGATTCTTATTTTGGGTAACGTATTTTTAAAACTTCAATTTTTGGTACCTAAGATGCAAAATTTTAAACATTTAAGTACTCGGGTAACCGGTTGAACCATTAACCGGTTATCATGTTGATGTGACGAGTAATGTGGTATCCAATTCAATATTATTTGCTAACATGACTAGTAACATGAATTTATTTTAATTTAAAATTAGTATTCAATCGATTACCCGAGTACTTAAACGTCTGTTATCGTATTTTCTTTTAGAAACTTAGGATAGATATTAATAAAGATAGAGTTGTATTGATTTAGAAGGAAGCAAGAGACATGTTGTAGTCGACACGACATCTAAAAGATGAACCATAAACGAAGATTTCGATATTTCATATTTATAACCCAAAAAAATAAATAAAAAATATTCAAGAAAATTAAGAAGGTTTTTGTAATCCAATGAAAAACATTCTTGCGAGGTAAAAGAAAAAGACCCAAATCTGGTGTGACCCAACTGCAAAATCTTCCCCTTTGTTTTCAATCAGCCGTCGTAGATCCACCTTCCGACTGAAAACCCTCGTTCTAATTCGATCATCAAACCCTGGAGATTTTGAATTATTCGAATCGCTGTGTTGATTACGAGAATCAAGGGTTGTTTAAAACCCATCTGGGTTTAGATCAGCAAGACCAACCAGATGATGGGTTTTTATTTTAATTTTTAATATTTAATTTTCTATTTCGTTATAATCTTCGAGTTCATGATGTGGGTTCGATGAGAATTTGGGAATCCGAAATGGGTTTTGTCAATTTGACGTGGGTTTTCGAGGTTGGAGTCGTTAGGTTAAAATCTTGAATCAATTCTTTGGGGGTTTTTTTTAGCTTTTTGATTTCAGATTAGAGACTGCTCCATTGGCTACAATGCTTATCTGAGATTGTTATCAATTTGTTAGAATTTGAAGTTTTTTGGAGCAGTGATATATATATATATTTATATATAATCTGCTTTTTTATTTATAAAAATGTCTGGTGGAACCCCAACTGCTGGTGGGCATATGAGGCAGAGGCATAGTCAAGGCTATGCTTCAAGTGGTGATGATCTTGAAGATGATGCTTGTTCGAGAATTCGACCTCAATCGCCTGCGTTTCCGCGAACAAGAACATGGGTTGAGGTCTTAGAGAATGTACTTTGGATTGCTTCTGCAGTTTTTATAGTGTATTTGGGAGATTGGCATTCCAACTTGATTTATATCTTGTTTCATGATGGTAGAGTTAGAAGGTAAACTTGTTTTTCTCTTTCCATAAGAATTATGTTGTGTTATTATGCAAATCTATGGTTTATAGATTGCTCAATTTCATGCTTATGATGATGATGATGATGAGAATTTGTATTCGTTTTGGCGAATTCCGTTGCAATATGATGCTTTTTTTATATAATTAGGTCTCTATCTTAGCATGGTTTCATTGATGGTTAAGATAATTGCATTAATGGATCATAGATCCGTTGGGAAAATGATGCGCATAACATAGAAAAATGTTGTTGTTAATTTAATATCTTTGACACAATATGAGCTACTAGGGAGTAATTGATCTTGGTTCAATGGAAAACACAAAGAAATTAGAAGATATAACCTTGTAGGTGAATCTTGAACGTTATTATACCTGAGCTTTTGGTAACTGTGGGTATTCGGGTCAGCTTGCACATACCTTGACTAATACCAGAGGGCCCTAAAGTTAACAACTAGGCAAACCCTCAGGTGGTCCTGGAGGGACTTGAATCGGTGGTCTCTAGGGAGCAAAACCATGGTCTTACTAGTCAAGCTACTAGGGAGTAATTGATTAACTTGATATTGGTTTCAAAGGAAAACTCGAAGAAATTAGAAGATATAACCTTGGAGGAAGGTGAATCTTGAACATTATTTTACATGGGCTTTTGATAACTTTGGGTGTTTGGGCCAGCTTGTGCGCACCGCGACTAATCCCATAGGGCCCTGAAGTTAACAACTAGGCAAACCCTCCGGTGACCTCTAGGGAGCAAAACCAAGATCTTACCGGTTGAGCGACCGTTCAAGGTTCCTTTAGAATGAGCTTTTTGTAGTACAATGCTTGCAAAATTCTGCTAATGATGCAGTGTTTGATTATCGTTTTTGTTATATATAGAAAGGACATTCTTGGAAATGTTTAGCTTTCAACTACTATTTTCTATTAGTTGATATGTTCTTGGTTCGAGTGGATTGTATGCATTAATTTTCTGATACTATTTGCGATCATAATATTAACTTTTCAGGAACCTTTAGAACCCTTATCGTTCTTCTCTTGAATAAATTCCATTTACATTCTACGTTACCTTGCAAAGATAGAAATCTTTTAGTTTCTTGTTGAATCTTGGAACTTTTGTAGAGCATCAAATGCGTAATTGCAACTGCTTCACTTTAACTTCATTTCTTCATTTTTTTTGTGTCGTAATGATTTCTGTGTGATCTTATGAGTTCTAAGATTTCATCTTCAAAATCTTTAATTTTATGGGTGCATCTTGTAGACGGGTCAGGATAGAAAAAGAACTTGTCCCATGTTTGGTGCAACATTTAGGGGCTGTTTGGTTGGTTTTTCATCAAGTCCTGTGTGGATTAATCTGTCTGTGTGGATTGGGAAGGTTTTTGTTCTGGTGGGTGTTTCAATAGATGGAAGGTGCGTGTTTTTTAATTGGGAGGGGCAGGTTTGGAAACAAACTTGGCCTTCTGCATAAAACTCTCTCCTAGAAGCTTAATAGATAAGCCACTTTCTATATCATTGATCCACTACCTAAGAGTCATGTATAGCTGACAGAATAAGCTGTGAGTCTCATTAAGCTCATTAACGACCGAGATAGGACAAGACATGTCTGAGTGGGAGAAAAAAATGCTTTTTTTTGTCCCATTAGAATACGTGGAACAAAAATCAAGGAGATAGGACAAGATTGGTAAATTACTAAAAAGAAACCTAAAACCTTGCACAATTCTTTCACCCACCTACCTCACTCTCGCCTACCACTATTATCCCAGTCCATCCAATCCCGTCTGCATACCAAACACCCCCCCCCCATATGAACTAGATTGTTGTTAGTAATGAGGTCAACATTTTTTACACTATGATGTTTGCTCACACATTTGTACAAGCCGGGGTCTTCACGAAAACGACCACTCTACTGTTTGAGGAAGAGGTTAGGTCTGGATACATCTCACACCGGGGGTGGGGGGGCCCAGGGCCTTATTATGAGTGGAATTTACGGGTTCGGTTGTTTGGTTATTGTTTACACTATGATGATATGCCTATATACCTCAATGTGGTAGATTTGGATTATAAGACATGTTTCTTTCTGTATGTTTGGTTGACATATTGTTCAAATTTGTATGCAGAATACCGTTATATCTCGGGCTATTTGGTGTCAGCTTGAATGTTCTCTGTTTCTTGTATACAAGTATGTTAGTATGGGGTGTTCGAAAGTCTAGCGAAAGGTGGGAGATATCAAGTACAGATGCCCTCCCGTTTGTTACCATTCTTGGACTCGTCTCTTTTTGTTTGTAAGACAAATTTCTCGTTACTTTTTTCCATTTCTGGATTTGGAATTTCTTAGTTCTCATCGGTTTTGTTTTTTTTCCTTTCTTGTATTACTTTGCAGGTTCTGTTTTGCTTTGTGGCCAATTTGGAGTTTCTTGACCCTCCCGCTTGTGGTAAATGAACACGATCGCTCGAGCATTATTATAAAAAAGTGTTTTTGACCGTAAAATACTCCCATCGTCTCAAAATAAGTGTTCACTTCCGAAAGTGTATACTTTCCGATTTTGTTCTTAGTTATGACTTATGAGATGGAGAAATCCATTACTGGCTCTTTTGCTAAGGGTAAAATTGTCATTTAGTGAATTGGAAAGTGTATTTTACTGCAAAATACTCCCTCCATCTCAATCCACATTTCTATTTTAGTCTGTCCCAAAGTAAGTCCAATTCCATAAGTGTCTAGTTTCCAATTCTACCCTTAATTATGAGATGGAGAAGTTCATTACTCCCTCTGTTATTAAGGGTAAAATCATCTTTTAATCGACTAAAAAGTGTATTTTACTGCAAAAACTCCGTCTCAATCCATATTTCTATTTTAGTCCATCCCAAAGTAAATGTCCGCTTTCAAAAGTAGGTGTTTACATTCCAATTCTACCCTTTATTATGAGATGGAGAAGCTCGTTACTCCCTCTGTTGTAAAGGGTAAATGTGTCATTTAGTTAATAAAGAAAAGTATAACAATTACACATTTCTAAAACTGTGCGCCTTTTATCTGTTCTTCGCAGTTCACATTGTTCATGGCTTGCATGGTCATATTGCCGTACATGGTTCTCGGGACGTTGAAGCAGCAGCCATCAGATATGTTCCGTATTGATTGAAATCAAATCCCTTGTTCATATTGACGACATTGATTGAAGCATTTAACGCCGGATTGGAGGTTTGTTTTCTGGTAATTATGCTTTCAATTTGTAAACGATACTAACAAACAGAACAGGCGAACATTTTCTTGAATCAGTCGGTCTCTTTCTCGTTTCACTTTTTTTTTCGTCTTAAAAAACATATCGATATGTGAAATTAGAAGGAACCCCAGATCAGATTACATTAGAACAGATAGAAATGAAACAAGTTTTCATAGTGATTGATTGATAGTTTGGATGATTTAGTCATCGATCATCGCGTGTTGTTGGTTTTCTTCTCGAGTTTATCTGTCACCGTTTTTCTATGAGATGATATTATGATTTATACATCGTCTTTGATATATATATGTCTATATATTATATATATATATACATACACAGAGAGGGAGGTTTAGGGGAAAACCCCAAGAAAATGATAAACATTCAGGTAACCATTCCTCTGTACGATATATACATGTGCATACAAGTAATTGAAGTTGTTTCTATACACGTATGCATGTTATGCACATGTGCATATGGGACAAATTACTTGTATGCACATGGTTTGATTAGAGTGGAACAAGACGAGATTGATTGGGATGAAAATGCATTTCTGTGTCCCGTCAGAACAAGAGGGACATATGATAAAAATCATGTCAGATTAAAACTCTAAAACCTTCCATAGTTCTTTTCATCCACCAAACTCATTTTTTTGCCTGTCTTATCCAGTTTCGTTCAGTCTTGTCCAGTCTAGTCCCGTTAGCATACCAGATAAAAGGTTATGGTTGGTTAAGTTGGGTTCCTTTCTAGCCCGTTTTCCCTTCTCCTATTGGTCCATAATGTGCGGTTTTTTTTATCAGAATTCTTGGCTTAACGAGTCATGACGGATTCCCGATAGTAGTTTACACAAAACCCGACTATTGGTATCATTCTAAAGCAAATGGAGCGTGATTTACGCTGTTTTTATCTTGCGAATTTGATTCGGGTATTTTTTTTTTGATTAACCTGGATATCCAACCCGCTATGCGAGCCGACTAATCCCAGGACGACCACCTGCTTTGCAGATAGCCCGGAGTCACCGCATTTGAACCTCCGTGGCCATAAGGGGATTTTTGTTCCTCTTTGGATTTGAACCTGGGATCTCCTGGTACTTTTGACCTTTGGAGCCAAGCTTAAACCAATCAGACACCACCCTTGTGGTTTTGATTCGGGTATTTTGTTTTGTGTATAATGCTACTGCAACTATTGGTATTACGACTTTTTTTCACCGTATGTTGAACGGCGGACAGACCTTTAGATTTTCAGTATCTGTCTTTGTAGTAGAGACGTTAAATTATTGGGGACGGATTTATTCATCGGCTAAAGGGGTACCTGTTGTCCCCGCTCTCTAGTCGTGATACAATGGAAAAGATTTAAGTGTCTTAAAGGTGCAACCGCTTTAATCTGATGTGTGCTCCTTAGGTTTTTTTTTGGAAGGGTGTTCCATGTCTAGACTAATCCCAACAAATTGTAACTGTAAGAAATCAGCCATAATAAACTCAGTGGTGATAATAGTATGAATTTGATGTATGTATGATATCCTGAAATAGCCATTGAACTACCATCATTTTCAAAATGTTTCTAAATGCATATATTTTTGGTTTTTTTTTATTAGTTTTAAGTTTGTTGGATAAATATGTATGTATGTATGTATCTCTATATACAGAGAGAGTAAGGTTCATACGAAAGAACAAGAAAACAGTCGAATCATGTGATTTCGGTTGCGGGCCATGTTGCGCGCACACCCTTGCATCGTCTGTTGGTGTAAAATCACATGTGATTTTGCACTTGATTTGGTTGTTTCCATATTCTTTTATTTTGTTATCATTCTCATTTGAACTTGTGTCGAAATATAATCTTATATCTATATTGCTACCAAAATCAATTCTTGTGATATAATGAACAAACAAATAACATTTTGGTGATGAGTTCTTGGGTCCTACCTCAACAAAAATATATTTTCATAATATATATATAGGTTGGGTTCACGTGAGGCCAACATGATTTCGTGAGACCACTTGAAACTTCACAGCAAAATGCCGTGAAGGTAAAAAAAAAGTCGAACCTTCACAGTACCTTCACAACAAAAAGATTGTGAAGGTTACCTTCACAACATTTTGCTGTGAAGTTTCAAGTATAAAAAAATAGTCTCATGGGTCTCATAAAACAGGTTGGTCTCACGTAATCTCAAGTGTAAACCCTACAAACCAATTTCATCCATCCATTTTCTTGGTCAATGGTCATGATTAAAATGTGTTATATTAAAAAAGTAAAAAATAAAATAAAATAAAATGTTTAATATTTAATCAAGAAAGGGCAAAATTGGTAAACCATTGTTCTTGTCTCATTTTTGGAAATTGATTTCATCCATAAAAATATTTTGGAAACTGTATCTCATTTTTTCGTTAGTGAAATTTGTTTCATTGTTCGTTATAATGAAATTTGAAGGGGATATGGTTCACTCAATGGAACATTTTTCAAAAATCTGAATAACATGTTTTCGTTAATAAAATTCGTTTCATCATTGAAATTGGTTTCATGGACTCCACAATTCCAAAAAATGAATGACATTTTTCTCACGATAATTAGTCTTCTTATCTGAACTTCCCACAGATATCATATATCGATAAATGTTTGTACTTTTATTCTTTGCAATCAAATACTAAAAATCCTTAATCGTATGTTTTGACTAAAGAATTTATAAATCACATAACAACATTTACATTTATTCGTCCAAACAACAGAACCACTTAACAGAATAGAAATTTGGGACTCGTAAATCACGACTACAGATACAACCACCGTACTATTGAACACTTATAGAATCTGAGAGTTACATCGAAGAGTATAACGATCTTTCGAGTTTCATTTTAACCTTTGATTTCGTCTAAATAAGATTCAAAAATGTAGTTTGAATTTGAGGGAAGGAACGTTCTACATGGTATTAGAGCGAGATAGGTAAGACTTTGCCATAGAGAAACACCTGTTCTTTTGCTTCTTGTATTCATCGTATCTCAGAAAGAAGTAACCGAGATAATCGAAATCAATTGGTGACATTTTCGCCTGTAATGTAATTGAAACAAGCCGTTAAAGACAAACCCGTGTCCAAATACTCAAATAAAACGGGCTTCCGCCCGGCCCATTTATAATTAAAACTAGAAAAAGACTAGTTGACTCTTGACCTAATGATAAATCTCAAAATTTCCTTAAAAGAACATTTTGTATTTTGAATGATTTTACTTTGGTTATAATTCTTTTTCAAAAAGTAAAAACGCTTTTTTAGGCCCGTTGGCATATGGGCAATCCCGACTCGTTAAATTATCAAACCCGGAAAAATGATTCGGGTTTGCTATATTAGGCCCGTTGGATGATAAGCCGGGCCCAATTCCGCCTAGGAAAGCTCTACTTCGGAATGATCACAAAGTGAAGGAACCTTGGTGCATTAAGGTCTGCCATATCGTTAGTTTATCGGGAAAGGAAAAGAAAGCATGGAGAGTTTGCGTACCTGGATCAAAGCCCAAAGTGCCCAATACAAGTGTGAAGCCAACATGTAGCAGTTAGTCTCGATGTAGAGCGCTTCGAGATCGTTATCCGATACCTGCATTTGGAATTAATCATTTATAACCACTCTTTAAGTTAACCAAGCAACGGCTGTATAAACTTTCAGCAGCAAAAATCCAATTTGCATGGGGTAAAAATTGCGATATTAGACTGGGACAGGACAAGGATCAAGTAAAAAAAAAAATGCACTTTTTTTGTCCCACCAAAATAGGTGGAACAAAAATCATGAAGATGACAAGATTTGTAAATTACTAAAATACCCATGTTAAATTAAAACCCAACTTTTCACAATTCTTTCACCCACCGTCTTTCCAGTCTAGTCCGGTACGTGTACCAAACGTACCCAAAGGTCCCGTTTGGTTTGTGAGATTTGATGGGATTTGGGATTTGATTCCATTCCAATCCAATCCAATCCTATCATGTGTTTGGTTTAAAGGAAAGTCCGGAATTGAAATTCCAAAGACATTGGATTTAGAATCCCATGAAGGTAGGTTGGTATTCCAAGGAATTTCGATATATATGTTTGTAATGATGTTAGATATTTTTAAAATATTTGTTTTCTAATGATCAATTAATAAAAGGTAATTTAATTAATTTGATAACCATTTATAATTTGTTTTTATAAAATATCAATAAAAAATGGAATTCAGTTCCATTCCAAATCCAAAAAAACACCAAAATTTCCAAATCCTTCCACGAAATTCAAATCTGACAAACCAAACACCCACTAAGTGCATAATCAAAGCTCAGACGAAATAAGTTGGCATACGTGCATACCTCATTCGGTTTTTCAGGGTTTAAGTAATGCCTGAAGAAATGATATTGTTCGTTCTTATTCGGGTACCTGCATAATCACCAAGGGAGAGCTATAAAAACATTTTTATCTTTGAATTTTACGTACTTCCTCTTTTATATAAACAATCTTGTCCGAATGTCGTTAGTCAACCTACGATCTCACTTCATGTACAGTTTCAATTGTTAGTGGTTCTTTCTAAAAAGCTAAATGAGACCATATAAATTTTAAAGCAAATTATATGATTGATCTTCACAAGTCAAATGTTATGTTGGGAGAAAAGAACGAGGAAGATGTCATACAAGGTGTAGTCGCAATTGTAGCCAGCATATTCATTGAAGTGATTTCCAATGTCGAAACCTCTATAATTGTATGATCCATATTCAAAATCTATGAAGTAGAGTTTCTCTGTTCCAATAGCACATAAAAAGATGGCAAGTTAGAACAAGTAAAATATTGGCAGATAAACAGAAACCGCAAAAGATCTGTAAGTCGCGGGTCTTCATGAGAACAACCTCTCTACCATTTGGGGTAGAAGCAAGGTCTGCATACATCCTACCCCTAAGATGTAGGGGTTACATTGGGTTCATTCAGTTCGGTTTGGTTTATCTACAAGACAAATGTAATGCAGATGCACTCCTGTAAACCGGGGCCTTCATTTACCATTGGGGTAGAGGCAAGGTCTACGTACATCCCACCCCTAAGATGCAGGGGACATACTAAGGGCCTGTTTTTAGCAGCTTAATGAGCTTAATGGGACTTGCACCTTATTTGATCAGATATACGTGCATGTTTGGTAGTGGCTTAATGATATAGAAAGTGGCTTATTCAGTAGGGTTATGCAGAAAGCCAAGTTTCTTCCAAACCAGCCACTCCCAGTTAAAAAAACACGATTCTTCCATCTATGAAAGAACCATCCCTATTCCCAAACAAATACCTTCCCGATCTATACAGACAAAGTAATCCACATTCAGACATATTTATTCATACATGACTTGATGAAAAACCAACCAAACAACCCCTAAGTTCGTTTGGTTTGGTTTATCTACAAGACAAATGTAATGTAGATGCACTCATGTAAACCGGGGCCTTCTTTTACCATTTGGTGTAGAGGCAAGGTCTGCGCACATCCCACCCATAAGATGCAGGGACACACTAAGGGCCCTTTGTTAGCAGCTTAATGAGCTTAATGGGGCTCACACCTTATTTGATCAGCCATACATGAAGTTTGGTAGTGGTTTAATGATATAGAAAGTGGCTTATTCAGTAAGCATATGCAGAAAGCCAAGTTTCTTCCAAACCGACCACTCTCAGTTAAAAGAACACGATTCTTCCATCTATGAGAAACCATCCCAAAAAAATACCTTCCCGATCTATATAGACAAGTTAATCCACATTCAGACATATTTATCCATACACGACTTGATGAAAAACCAACCAAACAATCCCTAAGTTCGTTTGGTTTGGTTTATCTACAAGAAAAATGTAATGTAGATGCACTACTATAAGCCGGGGGTCCTCACAAAAATAACACCCCTACCATTTGGGATAGAGGCATTGCCTGCATAGATCCCGTCCCTAAGATGCACGGGATGTACCAAGTTCATTTGGTTTGGTTTATGTACAAGACAAATGTAACGTAGATGCACTACTGTAACTCTGTAAGCCCAGGATCTTCACAAAAACAACCTCTCCACCATTTGGGTTTGAGGCAAGGTCTGCGTACATCCTACCCCCAATAACTTACCTCTGTATGGGATATATTGGGTTCATTTGGTTTATCTATGTGACAAATGTAGAGTGACTACCTCATTCTTTGTGAACTTAACACAAGATGGTTCAAATACAAGCATAGCCCCAGTGAACCCACGTAACATTCTTTTAGCGCAACTAGATACAACTTAAACTATTTGGAAATTTTTCCGTGAACATAATTTTCTTAAATATCCCGCAAATTCAAAGCATCAAAACTATTGTTATTATAAACGAAATTCTAGAAGTGAAGCACCAGGGTGGGATGTTAAGTGCAAGGACATAAGATGTTTGCTCCTCTATTTGACAACGATTCTTGATTGTTTATCTTGTACTAAAAGTACACAGTAATGAGCAGATACAGTCATAAAGTTGTCGAGATTACGCATATATCCCTTCTATAAAATTATCTATGATAATGCAAACTGTTGTGCAAGAGAGTGAGTAAAGGAAATTATGTCCCTGAAAAATAACTTGACTAATATAAAACCAAACCAAACCCACACAGTAAATCTTATTCGAAAGTAGGGTCTGAGAGGGGGATGAGATGTATGGAGACCTGACCTTTACCCCAAAGAAACAATACTAATATAAATCATCGAAATTATTTGATTTGTAACAAGAGTTGTGGACAAAGATACCTTCAACATCATTCAACATTAGGTTCCCAGAAAGCAAGTCATTATGAGCAAACACCACAGGAGCATCAAGACGACCTGTCAATTCCTGTCTCATAATCACCAAACATTTCTACACATATAAACTATACTTCTTTTAAAATTGCAGGAGTTTAACATAAGAACAGTACAAAATGATCTCAAGCTAAAGACAACCATATATAGAACCGACTCCCAAATGGGCACCATTGTCCGAGAGTGTCGGGTCCCTAGAGTGGTAGATACCGTGTGAGAATATGTGAAACCCCATTACTCTGCAAAAGATCCCTTGAGAAGAGAAGGGAGGTTCCAACATATATAGAGGAGAATTGGTCCAAGTCTAGCAAATGTGGGACTCTAGCACGCCCCCTCCAACGACGAAGATTAAACAGGCACTTATTTTCCCTTGAGAAGGGAGGTTCCAACATATATAGAGGAGAATTGGTCCAAGTCTAGCAAATGTGGGACTCTAGCACGCCCCCTCCAACGGAGATTAGACAGGCACTTATTTTCCCAGAGTGTCGGGTCCCTAGAGTGGTAGATCCCATGTGAGAATACGTGGAGCCCTCTACAAACGAGCCCTTGAGAATAGAAGGGAGGTTACAACATATATAGAGGAGAATTGGTCCAAAGTCTAGGCGATGTGGGACTTTACAGTGGCCAACTGTTTGGAGTGTTCCTTAGAGAATCTCATCGAATACAAATCACCTGTCCCCAAACTCCATGTTCCCCATGTCCACCAATCAACCCCAAACTCATCGTTACTTTATTGAAGAAAAATAATAAAAAGATAAATTAAATAAAACAATGATGTATCAGGGGGTAGATTGGTGGGACGAGGAGAGACGGAGAGTTTGGGATAGGTGATTTGTATTGCAGTTTTGTTCCAACCATGGAGCCAATATCACACTACTACAAAGGACACTAGAAATTTGAAGGATTCTACCAAATTAGAGAAAACTTAGTTCCGCACTAATATATGCATCAAACAGTTGGAAGTGACACGGACCTTACAAACCTTGTTCCAATATTAACAAGCGCAGACTATGTTAAAATTACACAACATATGTTCGCTTCAACTCAAAACAACAAAGAAAATGATCTTGTGCAACTGTTACAGTCAAAAGAAGCTACCTTAAGCTTAGTAATTTCGGCACGAACTTCTTCAAATGAAATTTTTACAAATTTCTCCTGCTTCTCATCATCATCAAAAGTAAGATTGGATGCTGTAATCAACAAAATTTAATTTCTCAGCACTTCATTGATATGCCATAAAAAGGACCAGCCCACTAGCAGGAAAAAGAGGTATATAGAAAAGATGGACCAGCCCACTAGTAGGAAAAAGAGGTATATAGAAAAGATACCACTTTCAAAAAACTTCAAGATATCATTCCACAGTTGTGGTTCCCTGGATCCTGGTATATCTACCTGATGGAACCGGTTAAGTTGTTTTGCAATTTCGGCTGCCAAGTTTGGTTTCCTCATATCTGTAAAAGATGGAGAATTGGAACTAATATCAAATACCAAGCCAGGTCAATAAAGGGTACGAAAGGGACCGGACTGCCAAGAGTGAGGTAGGCAGGTGTAAGAATTATGCAAGGTTTTAAGGTTTAATTTACATGGCTAGTTTAGTAATTTACCAATCTTGTCTATCTCCCAGATTTTTTGTGCTACTCACTCCTGTCACAGTCTAATGTCGCACCAAATGTGGCAACAGAAAATTAACAAACACATGGTTCAAAATCATCACATGTACCAAGCATCAACATGTTGTACAGTCAAGTATCAGATGATTCAGATCCAAATAATTTGACTCCTCGAATTGGGTTATATTCGCAAACTTTTGTTATCTCCATATTATACTGGCCTTCTTAAAACTTTATATTATCATAAATGATGAAATTCAAGTGTGCATCTAAAAAATGTTTTACAATTATAATTATCATTTCTACAGAAGACTATCGTAACAAGATGAGAACAAATTATATAATATTCTTATAAATTAACAAAAGCATAAATATGTAATTTTCTTAACAATTTAACAGGCTTGAGAACACTATAAAGTAATTAGTTTAGCTTTTCTAGAGATATTTCTTGTACTATATATAGGTATACAGCAATCCCCCATTGCACTCAAGCATATTCCTCTGTTGCTTACCTGAAGGATTTAGAGTGCGAGCATCTATAAAGGATTGCACCATTCCATTCCCAAATACTCCTAGCAACTTGGCACCAAACCCTGCAGCGGAGAGGTGATGAAGGGCCTATGCATACAGATACGGAATTACAATGTATAGAAAGTATAAGTAATGGATCTCAAATAATAATAAAGACAACCTTAAAGCTTTGAATAGTCTAGTGGGGCAAAGGTACTACATTTTCGAAAGCATACAGTAACCGAATATACAATAGTAAGAAGACGAGAATGAGATTAGTTGTAAGTATTGCATCACTGACAATGTTCAACAAGGCTGACATTTTCTTGGAGAAAAGAGAACACAGCACTGTATATCATCCATTTGGCTAAGGCATAGCTACTATCTATGAAAGACGGAGAAAAACCCTATTGGTTGGCATATCTTTGATGGGTCCCTTGGTTAAACGACCTTCTGACAGGTTTTATTTTTTAAAATCTATAACCTTCTGACAGGTTTGAGAATGTCAATGCTTAACAGACGGTCACTTCCATACACAAGAATGCCTGAAAACATATCAGAAGGTCATTGATTTAGGAATGTGCATTTCCTGAGCTTAAATTGTAACAACGTATCGATAATTGTATAGCCATGTACACTTTGTATGGCGCAGTGCATACACAAATATGGTAAGTGAAAGCTAATGAATTTATTAGACAAAGAGAGAGGAGGATACAGTCTTGCAAACTTATCAGATTCTAACCTGCAATTCCCTTTCACGATCGATAACATATTCAGTATTTGGACCATATAGCCTAACTGTCACATGCACCATATTCCCATTTTCTTCCTTTACGGATACCTTCATTACTGCATTAACAAAATATAGTTATTTAACTACACTAATCTCATAGCTTAAATCCAACCCGATAATGGAATAAGCCACTAAATCAACAGTACGACAAATCAAGATACCTTGAGCTCGTACTTATATAATATTATCATAAATATAATGTCCTCTTTAGTAACAAAATACGGTTGAATTTCTCAACCACTAAGTAATAAATAATATGCACACACACACACATGCATGCATATGTATAGCTAAAGGTACCTACAGAGATTCGTAATGCCACCAGACACTTTCTCGGCAAAAAAATGTGATTCATTCAAATTTGACCAGTGCTTGAATAGGTCCTTGCAAAGCTCTCTGTCAAATCAAATCCAATCATATAAAATCAAAAAATGGATAAATTAACTTTAAAACTGGAGTTCCTATAATCTTGCGAAGTTATACCAGAGAGTAGAATAAGGATAAGAATTGCCACCCATGTTCTATAGAAATAGATACACTTCCGCTTTGGAGACCAGACGGGTTACTTCTAAGTTCTAAACCATTAATGGGAGAATGGAGATTGATGTGGAATTATAAATGTTTGAAGAAAATTTACATGAGAGTATATGTAACAATGAATGGAATGAGTCCCCTTCTGTTTCCTTTATATAAGAGCGTTATTCTGTTAATTAGTGGACACATTGGAGCATTCAGGACATGGTTTACTAGTTTCATGTCTGAATGATTGTTATGAACACCTGATGCTTTAGTCTTTGCAAATTGTGAGCAACTGGCCATGGTGATTGCCAGAAAACTGTATAATGGAGAACGTGCATGATGCTGGACTGGATCTCTTTTATCAATTCAGTTGACCAAAGGGCCATAGGAAGAGTTCTATTTTGTATTTGTTCCTCTAGCTCATTTTCACATCAAAATTTGGGAAAAAATTAGCAAACTAAAGTCGCTGCTACATATTCCATTACTGTAATGGAGAAAATCAGCAAAGGTTTTCTAACATATTAATTCAGTTGACTAAAAGGGGGCACAGAATGAGTTTTATTTATAGACGTTTCTAGTTCATTTTCCACATCAAAAATTGGGGAAACAATAGCAAATTAAAGTAATTAATATGATAGATCAAGTCCAGCATCAAGTACGATCTCCAACATACAATTTCTCACCATGACCAAATTCTCACAATTCGCAATTCATAAACATCATACTTTTATAACAATCATTCAAACATGAAACTAGAAAAAGCCATTAACATAATAACTCTCCTATAACAGCTTCATCCATTTCATAATTGAATTAAGCTCAAATCATGTCAAATGTATCACAAAGAGCTTACACAAGGCGAGGTTTCATCTCCGACAAAGGAAGGGAGTGATCGACGATGAGTGAAGAATGAACAATCTCAAAGTCATAGTTATTACGAGCTTCACCGGAGACTTCCATGGCATTCCAGATGTTCACTGCGCCCATCTCTGTCACCGTCCGTAAATTCTCCCTCTGCAAATCTCCGGTGATTTCTGTGTGAAGATATTTCAAATGCTGGGGTTTGAATAGATCGCAAGGATTTGGACACAAAGGCAGTTTTATAACAGCCCGTTGGATAATTTACAATAAAACCCTTATAGTTTAAATATATTTCATTTACCCCCTTCCAGTTGTATTTTTTGTAAATCCTCATGATTGACTTATCAAAATATCATTAGAGCATCTTCTGAAAGTATTTCAAAATAAAGAATCAAAAATGAAAATCTTCAAATAGATTTATTTTTTGATTAACCTGGATATCCAACCCGTTATGCGAGTTGATTAATCTTAAGATGGCCATTTGCTTTGTAGATAACCCGCAATCACCGTATTTAAACTTCAGTGGCCAAATAGAATTTATGTTCATCTTCAACGGGATATTATTTTAGAGATTACAATATGAATTATATTATTAAAATATTTAATATTTTTCATAAAATATATATTTATCATCTACGTTTAATTTCAAAGATTTTCATTGGTAAAAAAAAATAAAAAATAATTTTTTTGTAAGTAATCATTTTTGAAAAGTTTTCCAAATTTGAAGAATTTACTCCCTCCCTCTCCTACTTTATTCATTTTGAATAAAGTTTTAGGGAATCTGTCGGAGCAAAAGTCCCCAAAACCTTCATTTTAAAGAATATGTTGGAGATGCTCTTAGGGGTTGTTTACCTAAATGTTTATCCGGTAAGTGTTTACCTTTAGCAGTCAACACTATAATTTATTTTATTGGGTAAGGTTGTAGTACATCAAAACGTATTTCATGCAACAATTTTCCTGGTAAGCTCTTACCCTGGTAAGAGTCGTCACCCTTACTTACCGGGTAAGACTCTCCATCCTTATCTTCGTTCTTACCGGGTAAGATTATTGGCTCTTTCCATGTTCATCCGGTGAGGAAAATTACCCGGTAAGTACTTACCGGGTAAGCGTTTAGTAAACGACCCCTTAGATTATAAGACAAATGTTATAAACAATGTTTTTATAATGATCCCCGGATGATTATTGGTCCAATAGTATCTAGGGGTGGACTTGGTACAGTATTAAGTTTTTTTCTCAAATACCATGTACCAACCAATTATAATATTTGATACCAACTTTTTTTGGTTGGTACTGATTTTGTACCCGTTTTAAATTATATATATAAACATGTGATTTTGTTCAAAATTTGAGTGACATTTTGAATTTCAAGTAACACATATTATGTTTACGGTTTTGTAATTATAAATAATAAAACCTGTAAACATTAAAATATTCAAAGAAAATAGTTAAAGTTATAATGTTTAACATTCGATACATAAAAAATATGAAAACCTAATAATAATAATTAAATAAGTCGGTATCATGGTATTACCACGGTACACGACTTTCAATACCGTGTATCAACCAAGTTTGGATACTTGGTACGGTGTTATTAACCTACTGTAACTGATGTCAATTTAATTAGTACACATGTTGTCTGGTTTAATTTTTTACAACATCGTCACCCCTAACAGTATTGATTTACAAGTAAATTCTGACATTTGTAAAGACCAAAGATTCAAATTTCATCAAAGATAAAAATATCTGACAGTTTTATCTTATATCAGTTTATCCACTTCAAAAATATTTTTATAAAAAAATTCGAAATAAAAATAATATAAAAATAAGGATTTTCGAAAATCAATATTCAAATCATTGAAATTTAATTATTATAATATTGTATTTTTTTTTTTAAAATATTTTTGCATTTTTGATTAAAAAACGTGGAACATATTCACGAAATTGAATAGTTATTAGGTCAAAGTTTTGATGGTTTTGTTGACATTTTTTGGGGAAATAATTATCAACGTTTTTATTTTGTGGGACCAAAATATAAATAATTGTCTTTTTGTTCCTAATTTTTTAAATGTTAATTTGTTCATTGAATACTTTCAACGGGAAAACAACTTATTGACTTATTGCGGTGTGACACCGATAATAAGCACTTTTGAGTGTTTTGATAAACAACTTATGATGGTGCCAAATCGGTAATAAGAAGTTTTTGAAGAAGTTAAACCCTTCTAACTTATAATAACTTGATAAGTGTTTTTATTGAAAAGAATAAGTAGTTTCAAATAAGCAATCCCAAACACCCCCTTAGTCCGTGGAGATATTTTTTCAAGATAGCCTACAGAGTTTGTCGTTTTGTAATGTTTTGATCTTTGCTATTAACGGTTGGTAATGCTTATATGTTAAGTAAGGGGCAATTTTGTTTTTTGGTCTTTTTAGTTCTCTTTTTGTCTTTTTTCCTTTCTTGTCTTGTTTCTATTTTGTATTTTTGTACTCATCGGCTGATCCCCACTCCTAATGCCTTCGGCCACACCCTTCAGCTCTGATAAAAATATCTTATGATAAAAACCCAGATGGTTTTGGAGAGAGGGGGTAGTAGGGATGGTGATTTGTCTCGACCCGGTTCACCTGACCCGAACGGGGGCGGGAGATGTTACTACAAACTGGGGCCGGGGATTACAAAACTCATCCCATCTCTTCCCGTTGCCATGCCTAGGGGGTAGGGTATCAAAAAGGTAACAGAGAAATGGGTTTTACGTCCAGGCTGTCAAAGAAAAGCTGATTGTACGAGGTGGGGACAATGGTTTTGGGAAGAAAGGGGGAATGGGTGATGGTAGGAGTTGGAGGGGGGCCGACGGTGGGGCTTCATGGAACGGGAAGGGCGATAGGAAGGCTTCATCGGAACGAGGAAGAGCGGTGGGAAGGGGGAGATCTGAGAGATTGTGCTCTCATTTTATTAGGGAAGGCGGAGGGATTGGGGTGGGGGATATGAGATATGGCGATGGATCGTTTGAGATAAAAGAATTACAGTGAAAAGCGTACGAAGATATATAAATCCTTAATCACTTTTAATCTCATACTCACTCATGAATTGCGTTTTAGAAAGGAACTGATACAGTGCATCATGGTGCACTTCATTAGTGTTGACATTCAATTAAGATTGATCCAAATGTCGGTTTCAAAAGTTTGATGCTTTTTATAACGATCTTAGAAAACTTAAATAATAAAAGTAAAAATAAGGTGAAACCGTAATACTATTTATTACAACTTCACCATTTAAACAATACAACTACTCTTTTATCGAATATATATATAGAGGTTGGTTATTATACAACCTTTGACATTTGTGCAACCAATACAACCCAATCTATACCGTCCATTTCATTTGATTAATATGTGATTTCATATAAGTTCTTATTGTTTCTAATATAAAATATTGATCATAATTAATGAACCATATTCATCTTCYATAAATATTCAAATCATAATAAATGAACTCTCATCATTTCCATAAATATCTCAATTTATTATGTTGCATTGGTTGTACAAATGTGACGGGTTGTATTTGAAACACACTCACTCTTTCTCTCTCTCTCTCTCTCTCTCTCTCTATATATATATATATATGTGTGTGTGTGTGTGTGTGTGTGTGTTTGTATGTAAGTTAAACGTTACGGTGTGTATTCCTATGCAAATTTGTAGAGCATCTTAAAACCAGGAGAAAACAACGAGGAGAATACCATTATCTTTAACATACATCGAATCGAAACTACCTAAACTACATATTTTAAGAAAAGACGAATCATTTCCAAATCCTCACTCTGTCTTAAAATTAGTGTCCACATTTCTATTTTATTATGTCTTAAAATAAGTGTCTACTTTCAAAAGTAAATATACATTTTTCTATTATACCCTTAATTTTAAGATGGATAAAATATCTCTTTTCTTTATTAAGAGTAAAACTGTCTTTTAGTTGATTAAAAGTGTAATAATTACAAATTCTTAAATTTGTGTGTCGTTTTCATTGTGAACATTTATTTTAACAAATAAAAATAAATATTATTAGTTTACATTTGTATTTTAGGACATCTACTTTCAAAAGCTTAATTTTCTGGATGTAATATTTTTAATGCAATTAAGAGAAATTTATATAATTTTGTGAACAAATATTCATATTTGTAAGCAAAAAATATTTCTTTAACAAATTAATATTTAAGGGAAAATTGTATGAAAAAGTAATATACTTTAACTTAATTCTTATTTTGAGTAACGTTCTTTTAAAACTTCTATTTTGGTACCTAAAATGTAAAGTTTTAAACATTTAAGTACTCGGATAACCTATTGAAACATTAACCAGTTATCATGCTGATGTGGCGATTGATGAGATGAAACTGGGTTGAATAGCAAATAATACTCAGTTGGATACCACATCAGCATGGTAACTAGTTACCCGTGTACTTAAAATGTCTAAAACTTTACATCTTAGGTACCAAAAAAAATTTTGAAAGTACATTACCCAAAATAAAAATCAAATTAAAGTACGTTACTTTTTCATTCAATTTGCCATAATATTAAACCTAATTGTTTGACATTTCTTGTTCTACACATCAAAATGATTGCTTTTTGATTGGATTTCGGATTGCTCCGGAGTCGGGTTGAGGTAGGTCGGGTTCGGGTTTATTTACAATGCAATATATATATATATATATATATGTGTGTGTGTGTGTGTGTGTGTGTGTGCGCGCACGCACGCACGCCCAATCAATTTTGATGATGAATTCAATCGATTTAGAGGAATGATAAATTGATGCTTAGAAATTAGAAAAAAGAACACGATCGACTAAGATTTTTATAATTTTCAAAAGATAACTAGATAAATAAGTATATTTATATAGCATTTAATATATATATATATATATATATATATATATATATATATTTCGGATTTTCGGACGGATCGGGTGACCAAAAATCAAACCTAACCCGAACTCAAATTTTCCTGAAAATTCGGTTTTCGGGTTTTAGACTATGCGAGTTTCACATAAATACCTTATTTTCTCGGTTCGAGTTTGAGTTTGAATTTCAGATAATTCGAGTTTTGCACACCCCTAATTTCATGTATGAAACATGTGTATGAATGCAGACAAAATAATCTTGAACATCTGATATATAAAACAACATTTTATAAATACTGTATTTTCATACATATTGATTCATACGT